GCAGAAGTATGGAATCTTTATACTAATTTTGTGTTTCTTTTCCTTGCAATGGCTATGCTACATTTGGCCTCTTCTCAACGCATTCCACCTTTGATTATAAGACTATTATAAGTTCGAAATCTTGTCCTGCTGCAGGATCAAAGTCCTCTAAAGCATGGTCGCTGTTTCTATGAATATGGGCCTGTGTGTCTGTGACTGAACCCTCATCTGAGCATTTTGCCTGGCTTATGCTGGTTGATGATTTGGGGTTGCACGCTTGCTTTGGAACATGCTTCTCTTTTTGTTTGATTTCACTTTTATGGTAAGGAATGTGTTTCTGTCTTGAAATTAAGTATATGGTCCTGCACAAAATCTACATAAGAATCAGATAGAGAACTTTTCCTCTCCACAGGAAAGTAGCTGTTATGCAGGAATTGTTTTATAACTTCATATGTGCAATGTAAAATTCTCTCTGGTATATTTAGGATCATTCTGGTTAGGTACAAAATTACACATAGAGTGGTATAGCTGATTGGAAATCAGTCTAAATGTGCAACAAAACAGAAGCTCAGTGCACATAGAGCAGTTTAAAATTGGTGGAACTCAGTCTATGACAGACCTGGATAGAAGTAGTATCAGATTTAATCAGTTTAGGTTAGACCGGTCTATCAAAATTCTGTCCCAGATTGCCTCCTGACCTCTGGCATCCCAGGATGATTTCGGCTTCCCCACCCCTGTCACGGTGGGTGGGCTAGACTCAGCTGGTGCTTGTCTGCATGCTCTTCCCCCACCCAGCTTGCCAGCTAATGTCTGGGGAGGGGCTAGGCAGGGTCTACACAATGGATGGCTCCATTTCTCCACTCCCCACAGCCTGACCACCTGACAGCTACAGGCAAAAGCAGAAGCTCGGACCTGCACAGCTGTCCACCACACCAGAAACCGAGGGTGGGGATGTGGAGTGGATCCCCTCCCCAGACTTAAAAGCTAGCAAGCTGGTTGGGGGGAGGGCTTCCATGGTGGTGGGCTCCATTCCCCATCTCCCTCCACCCTGCCCAGCCACTGCTGACAGCTGGAGGAGGGACAGGGCTGGGGCTGCACTAGCGAATCAAGGGTGGCTGGCTGCTTGGCATTGTCCTCAGCCAATGCAGGCCTTCACCCCAACTCCGCTGAAGGGTGAACATGAGTTCTGTTCACTCCCAAACTAATCTAGGGTGCTTAGAAAAAGCCACAAAAGTAGTGAGAATCTGCCTCGGGCTTTCTGAATGTCTTTACTTAGTCTCAGCCAGGAAAGAACAGTCACTATATTAGCATGTAAAAGAGAAGCAGCAGGTGGTATTACATACTTCCCCTTGAGCTTGATAACCATGTCTGTGAACACTTCCAGGAGTAAATGTTCTCAGATGACCATGGACGACCTTGATTATGCATTGTTCCATCACAACTGGAGAAAATTCTCCCTTGTGAAAAAAGACTCTGAAGCAAATTAGGGCTGGAAAGAGCCATATATCCTGTGGGGAGAGTTGTAAAATGGTGAAATTGGGAGAATTGGAAAGATTTTGGATACGATACTTACTAAGTTACTTTACAAAAGTTTTTCTAAAGTTTTTGCCAAATTGGTGAGCCATGACTTTACAGCAGCTACAGTAAAATTGAAGCTGTAGCCCACATGCAGGTTTGAGGTGAAGTCAAAGCCAAGCTCAACTTCAAAAGTGAATGTGACCAAAAATCTATATTGCTTTTGTGAAGGACCATATTACACTCTGCTGAAAATGTTAGAATTTAGAATGGCAAAAGTATGTCTGGTTACTTTACTTGACTTTTGGAATTTTCAACAAAATAAAGCAAATGTATAAAATAAATTTACTAATAACTTGAAAATATTATAAACAATCTCCCATAAGATCTAGAAAACCTCATTGAAGAGAGGGAAACAGAGTGCTAGGACACAAGCCTGGAATGAGGATTTTGTGGTTCCAGTTGAACTCTGCTACTGAATGATCTTGGGCAACTCCCTCTGCTTCAGTTTCCCACTTGTAAAGACCAGATAGTTCCTGTGAGAATTACACAGTAATATTACTTGCCAAATTTCTTCAGCTTCCCAGTTATATTTACTGCCTGTGAAAGGGGAAAATATATAGAATGTCTTTCATTGAGCTTGACCTTTTTTAAAAAAATGGAACTGCTTTTAACTAAAATAAACATACTTTTGCTTTTCTCTGTTTGATATATTTCTCCAACTTCTCAGGCTTGTTAACATCACTGCACTCCTTTATTTTTGTCTTTATTTGGGGTATTCTGGCTCATGTCGCACTCCTTTCTGACATTGGCTATTAACACAGTGGATGCAATACTCCTTGCGGTATTGATGGTGGCAGTGGACGTAGCACTCCCTCTTCTGTTAGTACTGTTAGTACTATTTGCCCAACTGAGCTGAAAGCTGCATCTAAGATGGCCCCTAACATTCCCTTGGAAATGGAGCTTCCTGGTGTCAAGATTGTACATGCTCAGTTTAATACACCTCTGCAGCTGTACTCAGATGACAATATTATGGAAACACTACAGGGCCAGGTTTCTACAGCTCTGGGGGAAACTCAATTAATGAGGTAACTAAAGGCCTTCTGTTCATTGAGTACATTTACAAAACCATGAGCACAAGCAAAAACAATTTTATATTCAAGCAATGTCTAATTTTTATACTCAATTGTTAACATTGTATCTAAATAATAACTATGTTTTTACAGTTTCTGTCAAAATGCCATTCAATGAAAGATCTTTTTTTTCTAGCCCATATTTTAAAAGTCTTTCAGAATTTACAAGAGGAAAGTTTTACAGAACAGAGTAACTGAAAAAAAATGTGTTTCTTGTTGCTAAATAAAAAATTAAGACTTTAGCTATTTTCTTAATCTACCCCATCTGGGCCCTGATTCTGGAAAAAGCTATCCTAATTTTAAGTACAACAGATGTCACACTGAATTCAACTAGACAACTTAATTGTTTAAAGTTAAGCAGTCACAAAAGTATTTGCAAGCCTAAGACCTACATTATCTATCTTGCTTGTCTAAGACTGTCCTACACTGCCTCTTAATATCTATATTCTACTAGAATTCTGCATGCCAAGGAGGTCTTGTAGATATTCCTTTCTTTCTAAGTCTATTAGAGAATCTTTATAATGATCATAAGTACTCTTCCTCTGGTTTTGAGGTCAAGTGCAATACTTCTACAGTGCTCCTCCATGTGTAGAGAACAGTAAGTTATTACTTTTATCCATGATAGTTAAATCCATACTGAAATCCTTGAACAACTAGGAGTAGGCTGCCTAAAATGGCAAAGAATTAAAAAGTGGGCTCCAAAAGCAAATTCAGGCCATACCTGTAATATTTTGAGTGTAAAACTTTTTTTCAAGGTACAGTAGCTCCCTCATTAATAATTTATCATTTCCCTGTCTTCCTCCTTTATTTGCACTGTCACAATTTAACTACTTTTTATTCCATTTTACTAACAGTTTTTAACAATATGTATGGCATTGCAATTGAATTATGACAAATATTTAAATTTAAGTTTTCAGACAATAACATCAATAGGTATTCAGGACACTCAACACCTTGCTGAATCAGTCCTGTCTAACTATAAAAAAATCATACTTATCCAAAAGTACTTAAGCCAAGTTCATGATGGAAACAAAATTTTACCTACAAGACCATTGTGGAGTGACAGTGTTGCTTTATTGCCTGGTTAGTCACCCTCAACAGCATTAGAACAACAACAACAACTTGCTTTTTTTGCATCTGGAATCATGAATTAAGTCCATGGTTATCAAATTTAACAGCTGATTAAGTTTCCTCAAGTTCGGGAATTGACCCTGCACACAGCTGTGAAATGTCTCAGTTGGTGGTGGCTCCTTTGGCATGAACTTGGAAACACTGTCTTAAAATCTTGTGTCTAATAAGTATTTTGTGTAATTCTACAGCAGCCATTAGCTCTGATTTGCTTAAAAATAAGAAAAACCACACGAAGAGTTAAAAGCCATTATTGGCAGTGATATAGTTTATCTTATTTAAAAGAAAACCTTCCTACTACGTGCAGCCTTTCTTCTTTGAAGTTACATTAAAAGCAATGCATATGCCTTAATTACCCAGAGTTAAAAGTTGTATGGTTAGGGATCGTGATATTCTTTTAAAAATGGCTCAGAGAAATCTGGTTGATTGCAACTATTTATGCCATCTAACATACCAGTACAGTACAAATTTTTTTGCCCAATCAGGGAGCCTATTTCCGTTCGATTTCCAAACTTTGCTCTCAAAGAAACCCCAAACAGATGAACAAATACTAGGCTGAGTCTAATACCCTTAGAATCAATGGGAATTTTACCATAAGTTTTAATTAAAGTAAGAAAAAGCTCATAATAAGGGATTTAAACTAAACATTTACCTGTGCATAAATGCCATAATATAGTTCATTCAATTATATATCTATGCTCCTATTTAATTCCCTTATCCATCAAAAGATTAAAGATATTTATTTTGAACATAGTTTCTAACAATGCACCCAGGATTTCCATATTTTATCATTCCTGCACATTTAGTTAGTAATACCACTTAGTTTAAGATAACTAATGTGAAACATTGTGGGTAAAATCTTGGCCCACTGAAGTCAATGAAAATTTTGCCATTGCCTTTAAGTGGTCAGGCTTTCATATTGTGTGTTTATGTGATAGCCAATGCAAAAAAAAGTAAACTTAATTACTTTTTTAAAATAGACTTTCCATTCAACAAAGCATGGCACTTAAATTCTTGCCACAATACAATATTTATTTCATTATTTTCCCTGTTAATATACATTAAATTAATCAGAATGACTCTTAATCTAACAATCACTATATTAATAGTGATTGATCAAACAGTCTTGGAAAGACTGACCAGCAGGTGCTCTGCAGAAAGACAAAGGAGTTTAGGTTTCTGTTGACCCTTCCTAAAAGTGAGAATGATATCTTCCTTTTAAATACCATTCTCAAAACTATTTACCTTGAGAATTGTTATTTTGTAAAGTAGATCCAAGAGTAGAAGGTGACTTGATTGCCAACTTGGAGAGGTTGCAGCTGTTTTGAGAGTAAAGTTAGGTAATGGCCCATTTCCAATGCTTAACTGTAAAAATAAAAACATGGAGTGCCCATATTTATTCTCTTACTATATTTGTACATCTTATTTTTTTTTATTTATAAATCAAGAGATAACTCACCAGACTGCTAGTTCCCTAAACTTAACCTATGATAAGGAAGTACAGGTTAGCTAAGGAAATACAGGTTGGATGCATGGATTGTAAGATGGATAGAAAACTGGATGGATTGTCAGGCTCAAAGGGTCATAATCAATGGCTTGATATCTACTTGGTGGCCAGTATCTAATGGAGTGCCCCAGGGATCAGTTCTGGGGCTGGTTTTGTTCGATATCTTCATTGGTGATCTGTAAGACAGAATGGAGTGAACCCTCAGTAATTTTGGGTGACACCAAGCTGAGGGAGTAGTAGATAAACTGGAGGGTAGGTCTAGGATTCAGAGCAGCCTAAATAAATTGGAGGATTGGGCCAAAAGAAATCTCATGAAGTTCAAAAAGGACAAGTACAAAATCCTGCACTTAGAACAGAACAATTCCATGCACCGCTACAAGCTGGGTACTGACTGGCTAAGCAGCAGCTCTGTAGAAAAGGGTCTAGGAGTTACAGTGGACAATAGGCTGAATATGAGCCAACACTATACCTTTGTTGGCTCATATTCAGAAGATTAACAGCATATTGGGCTGCATTAGTAGGAGCATTCCCAGCACATCAAGGGAAGTGATTCATTATTCCATTTGTCACCAGAGCAGTTGTATCTGGAGTACTGTGTCCAGTTTTGGACCCCCTACTACAGAAAGGATGTGGACAAATTGGAGAAAGTCCAGCAGTGGGCAATGAAAACAGTTAGAGGGCTGGAGCACATGACTTCTGAGGAGAGGTTGAGGGAATTGGGCTTTAGTCTGGAAAAGAGAAAACTGAGAGGGGGGATTAAATAACAGCCTCCAACTACCTGAAGGGTGGTTCTAAAGAGAATGGAGCTAGGCTGTTCTCAATAGTGGCAGATATCAGAACAAGGAACAATTGTCTCAAGTTGCAGCATGGGAAGTTTAAGTTAGAAATTAGGAAAAACTCTCTCACTAGGAGGGCAGTAAAGCACTGGAACAGGCTACCTAGTGAAGTTGTGGAATCTCCATCCTTGGTGGTTTTTAAGACCTGGGTACAATAAGCCTTGGCTGGGATGATCTAGTTGGGGAAGGTTCTGCTTTGATCAGGACTAGATGACTTCCATGATTCTATGAACTGACAATCAGGTTAGAGTCTCTCTCTCCAGCATCAGCAGTAATATATTTGCAGTTTAAATGTAGCTGATAATTTTGCTAATGATGCCTGCGACATCATTAGGAAGAATAGTGAATAATGAATATTATGGATAACAACTATACTTAGCACTTAAATGGAATCCAAGTTACCCCTCCATGGAGGTATTTTTCTGCTAAATAAATGCAATTGAAAAGTTGAATCCGTCAGTAAAGGAAGGAAATATAAATCAAAGACACAGTCAACAGACATGTTGTCTATTAAAAAGCATCACACAAAGTAATAGGAATGTAGGGCTGCTGGAAGGGATCTCAAGAGATCATATAGTCCAATCCCTAGCTGGAGGCTGGATCAAATATACCTAGACTACCCGCAAAAGATATTTGTCTAACCTGGTCTAAACAACCTCCTATAAGGTTTACCAGAACCTTAGGTGGCCTCTTCCAGTGTTTTACTGAACTTATAATTAGAAAACTTTTCCTAATATTCAACCCAAATCATTTTTGTTGCAAATTAAGCTGATTTCTTCTTATCCTTCCCCCTCTCCCCCCACTCCGTAGGCATGGACAGCAATTGATAACTAACCTCTTCGTTACAAACTCTCACAAATTAAAAGATGGCATATGTCTTCCCTCCGTCTTCTCTTTTCTGTATTAAATAAACTCAATTCCTTCAATCTTTTATCAATAACTCATGTTTTTTTAAACGTCTTATCATCTTCTTTTCTACTCTCTCCCTCCAGATAGTCCAAATCTCAGTGTAAGGCACAAAACTAAATGAAGTACTCCACCTTAGGCTACAAAACCTTATTGAAAATAAAATAGGCATCATTGTATCAGAATTTCACCACTGTGTAAAACAGCCTATCTGGGGAAAAGGCTCTGTTCATTAGGGGTATGCAAAGCAGGCCGTATTAGATTTGGATTTGGATTCAGCCCTAATTGGGGACAGTGATTTGATTCCTTGATTCTGATCATTGTCCCTGATTCAATTCGGCTGAATCCAAATCTGAAGATTCGATGCTGATTCAGAGAATCAGCGATTCAGCTATAGATGCAGCTTTAAATGTTTTTTCTACATACATCGAGGTACCGGGATTGGCTCATGAATGCACCCATGGTGAGGCAGATGGGGCATCCCACAGGAGTGTGTGCGGGGGGGCCCCCTCCATGTGCTTGGTGGTGAACCCAGAAGTGGACCGGAAGTACTTCTGATCCACTTCCAGGTCCACTGCTGAGTGCACGGGGACCTCTCCTGAGCCCCCCCAGCTCAGCAATCAGCCATGGGGAGATCCCGGATGCCCCCCAGACCCAGGAGGCAACAGTCACTGAGCCAGGGGGTGCAGTGGTGCCCCCCAGCACGCTCCCCGGCAGACCCAGAAGTGGACAGGAAGTTCTTCTGGTCCACTTCCGGGTCTGTTGCCAAGCATTCACAAGCCACCTGGTACCTTGAGATATACAGAAAAAACATGTAAAACTGTGTCTATATCTGAATCATTGAATCTCTGAATCGATTCAGGGGGTTCTGATTCGATTTGGAGAGATTAAAGGGTCTCCTGATTTGATTCGGATTCAGAGATTCGTCCACTGAATTGGGCCAAATCTCTGCCGAAACTAAGGGACCGAAGCTTCGCATAGTCCAACTATTCAGTATTCTTTAATTTGTTATTTATATTAAATTTATATATTGAACTATATTCTATGTCTAGCAGCTTGACTGTATTAAAAGTTACACTGGTTAACTGCTTTTATCCCTCATCTCTTGTTCATGTTTCAGTGAACCAGTACCCACCTCAGTGCCTCAGTCTGATGTGTACAGGATGCTGCATGACAATCAAGAGGGGCACAGCCAACCTCGTCAGTCTGGCTCCTTTAAGGTGCTCCAGGACTTAGTCTCCGAAGATTCTGGTTAGAAACAATTTACATCTGTCTTTCGGCAGCATTTTTGGTGTATCAGTGAAAAGAGGGGAATCTGAAAAGAGTTCAGGTTATAAGTGTCTATAAGAATCTGATTTATAAATACAACTTCACATTTTGATGAAGATGTTAGATAATATTCCAGCCCTTTACTGATTGGCCCTTTTTAAATCTTTAACATGCTACAAAAACAACAAAATAGACTTCAGACTTACATGTCAATCATTTTTCAGACTACTTTGTCAGATAGTTAAGACTGTTAATGTGCAAAAATTGTTTGACTTAATAAAAACCTTACATGAGAGAAGTTTGGGGATAGGATAAAAATACCAGTGAAAGATAAAATGTATGATGATTTCTTTCTAAACCAGGAAAAGGAGGAGGAAGGATTTAAAACTCTCTAAAATTAAGTTCCCCCCATTCTAAATGGAAAGAAAAACCATGCTAAAATTGGTTTGAGAGGACAATATGGATTGCACCTTCATTTCCCTCTAATTATACTGCATCAAAATTATTATAATTGGTGAGCTGTCAAAAACAAAGCAGATGAGAAATTGTGAAATTCTGTCTGTTTTATTTATAGTAAATAAATAGTAAATTTATAGTAAAGAAATTAACCTAAAATGCTAAAACTAAGCAGTGACATGAAAAATGGATGTATACATCATAATGCACTTCTGCATCCATTTTGTGATGATTAATTTTCTATTCATAGTGTGGTATCAATCTTTTAGAATCCATTTTCAAGTTAATTCTATAGACATGAAGTAATCTTTTCAAGACCCTAATAGAGAACACCATTCAAGGCACAATCCTATCCCAATGAAGTTAATGGCAATATGGAAGTAATTTCAGCGAGACACAATTTGACCCTTAGAATTATGGTATCACAAAAGGAAAGCAAGATTTTTGTTTACAGAAACTTCAACTTTATTTGATGGAAGTGAAAGCTTATAAATCAATAGAGAAGTAGACATATTACAGCAAAGCACTGAATCATAGCCAGGTGCATCTATATTACATTGTAAATAATTGACTATGTCTTGTTTCTTAGAAGGACGTCCTACAGGTATAAGAAGTGTGAAAGCACCAGTAACAAAGATTCCTACTGGTACAGGAAGCGTACAAAAGGTGCCATTATGTGACAGATGTGGAAATGGCATTGTGTAAGTTCTTTGTTCTCAATTTTGTTATAGTTATAACAAACTGAAGCATATCTCTTCAAATGGTACAGATACAGAGAAAAGTATTTTAATCATGTTTTATAACATCCACCTATTTTTCTTTTAATTCTTTTTATAAACAGTGGTACCGTGGTGAAGGCACGTGATAAGTACCGGCACCCAGAATGCTTTGTGTGCTCCGACTGCAATATCAACCTGAAACAAAAGGGCTACTTCTTTGTGGAGGGGCAGTTATACTGTGAAACGCATGCAAGAGCCCGCATGAGGCCACCAGAGGGATATGAAGCAGTTACTGTTTATCCAAAGTGTTAGTCTTATGCTAACACATACATGCATGCAAACAAAAAGATATGAACAGCTTAGAGAAGCAGTGCAACTTGCTGAACTTAACTGCCTGAATCCAAGTAGCAGCTTTTAAACATTTTCTTTTGTGGAGGGGGAAGGGGTCAGAATGAGGCAGAAATCCCTATCAGCTAGCAGTAGCCTAGATACCAATACCATTTTGAAAAAGTGTTGTTTTTTGAAGCTGCCAATGTAATCAAATGGGGTATAAACCAATAAAGTTTTGTATGCCAAACTGTATGGGGTTAAAATAACTTTGGAGCAGTGGAGCTCTTGTATGATGAATACAAGATAATCAAGATGTTATTTTTGTTCAGAATTTGTTTCAACATGAGCCAAATGTTTGCACAAATATTTTAGTAAATTTAGAAGCCTAATGCCAATATGAGTTGAACTCCTGTATCTCCAACCTCTTAAAGGGCCAATCCACTAAAAAAAAGGAGTTTGCATTTATACTGCCAAACAGCTGTTGTTCACATCTGCTGTACACATACCTATCAGTAAAAGAATCTGCATTAAGCACTTGGTGAATGCTAAAGAAAATACTCAACAACTTTTCAAACATGTACATGCCTCAACGCATGTGCACTTTTTCTGATAGCTGATGTAAGTAATTAATATCTTTCAGGGCATGCACGCCAAGTCAGGCTCTTGTATGCAGGTATGTTTAGGTTAATAACTCTGCATGCATATGAAGACCTATGTGCCTCTAACAGTGGGTGTAAAAGTCCATGAACTCTTAAGTATGCACAAGCTGGAGAAATTGGGCCCGGTGGTGTAACAAGCAGGGACTGCATCCTGGGCAACCCCTGTGGAAGTGGGGGAGATGCCACAGTCACAAAAGCAGGGTGCTCTGCCCGCCCTAGCTCTTGCCTTTGCTCTTCCAACAGCAGCAGCAGCAGGGTGTCCATGCACCGCTGCAAGAGCAATGCTATGGGGCTGCTCTTGCTGCTGGGATACAGCCTCAGCAGGTGCTCCTCCTATTTCAGAGCCCAGGGTTGGTGCCCATCTCATCCACCCCCAGTTACACTGCTGCTTGGGCCATAGAATTTATCGTTAGTATCAACCATAAAAATGTATTTAATGGAATTTATTTAAAAAAAAAAATGTTGCATCAGGCATATAAACCTAGCAGATAAGCAGAAGGAAGTGCAGAAAGTGGCATTTTCGAGATTAACTGGTTTAGAGAGCTTTCACAGGCAGCCGCTTACTTTGCCAGATGCAATGAACGGACCTAACACATATGAACACCTAAGCATGGAATCCACTACACTTTTCTCCCATTCAATCATATTATAAGGTTAAATCATCAGAACACTGAAACTAAACAAAATATTGCATATATTTTAAGTGCATACAAAAAAACTTTAAAAATGCTTCTCTCAGTCTGAAACAAAAAACCTGTTTTTCAGCAGCTTACAAGATGCCATTTCAGAATGTAAATATTTACTAAATGTGTTTCTCATGTACTACATTTAACACTTTTCAAATATGATAGTACAAAATAATGTGCCCTATTATATAACATTGGTTGCTTAATTCGTTTTCAGACACTGAATATAACTGTGCTTCCCAAGTACCAGAAAATCTATTTGTCTTATTTTATTTTTCCATTGATCACATCCTGCAAAAGAAATCTGAATTTTCCTTTGAAAAGAGAAGTGTACACAATAGCTACACTATTTAGAAACTTTCAATGTAACTGAGATTTTAAAATCATTATTTAATGTTAATTTCTTCTATGAAATAGCTGAAGGTAAAAATAAATCTACTACATACAATCAAAAGTTTTTATTTTCATAGTTTCATAGTTTCTAGGGTCGTAAGGGACCTGAGCAGATCAG